TTTTATTACTTTTTTTCTATATTATATATGTTATTTTTCTTTCAAACTGTAAATTTTATACTTTTTAAAAGTGGGGAAAACTTCCATTTTTTATATTTAAGAATTCAGTTACATGGTAAGAATAATGTTTATGAGCAGAGAACACGAGGTTAAATTTATTTCTCATTCTTCTAATAGTAGTAATTATTGACCTAAACATCTTCTGTCTTATTATACTGTTCATAATTGTGCTAGCTGAAATGCTAGTTTCAGGAGATATGTTTGGTCTTTTAGTAGTAACCCGTTTTATCTCCACTGTTGTGTGGGTCCTACTTGTACAAATTATTCTCTTTCTAGATTTTCTAACTCTGGAGTTTGTGCTCTAGTTTTATAACTTGTCGAAATTCTCTAAGCGATATCACATACATAGATAATATATCCATGTATGTGATATCGCTAAGAGAACTTTGACAGGGTAATAATAGGAAATACGTAAGACTTAATTAGCATGCAGCTTTCCATTTAAATAATAAAAAATAGATGGGCAGTGCTTGAAGACTTGACTTGCCTCAGACAATGGCACAAATATCCAAGTTCAAAGACAAAATTAAACAAACAAAAACTAATCCATACTAATGCCAGTAGTTGCCTATCTTTCCAACACATCTTTCTTCTGTAACTGATTGTTAGATATCCACGACTATTTTAATTTAAGTATAGCGCGAGTGTCAAATTTAGTTATGTTTAGAAGGGACAGTTTATGTAACTGTGTACGAATCCTAATCATACGCTGCGTAGTTCCATTGTTATGATTTGACACTTGTATTATTGCGTCATTTTACTAGAACTTTCTAAGTTTTTCTCGTTGTTTTGATTACGTATTGTTGCATTATAAAATCTCATAGTGTGTAGAAAGTTCTAGGTCTCAGTTGGACTACTTATAAGTACTTGTTCAAAATGTAGTTGAAGTCAAGTTAAGTGAAAGCAAGTTAAGTTAGTGGGAGATATAATTTGATTTGTGTTTGTGAGTGTAACCAGAAAGAGCATATAGTCATTTTTTAAAGTGAAATTATCACAGATTATATTGTAACAACAGAGTAGAGAAGAATAATTTGCCTTATCAATTATGTTCTAAATGAATTGAACAAACTGCTGTGGACTCCTGGTGAAAAGAGATCATTATTTAAAGCTCTGGATATAACTGTGGTAACCAACGCTGTAACATAAGTGAAATTATCACCACTGTATTATAACAAGAGAGCAGAGGAGAATAATTCATCTTCTCAATTGTGTTCTAAAGTTCAGAGTTAAGAAGACATTGAGTCAACTACGACAGAGATTTTACTGGAAAGGTATGAGGCAAGATGTGGAAGAACGGTGCAGGACCTGTAGTACATCTTCTCAATTGTGTTCTAAAGTAACTGAACCAGCCTGTATGGAGTTTGACGAAAAGAGACGATTATTCAAAGTTCTGGATAAAACTGTAGTGATTAACTGTGTAACAAACATTTGTATATGTGTCTGACTTGTTTTAGTATATGAATATTATTTTAAAATAAGTGGGCGGTGTGCTCTTTGTTTATTGTTGAAATTTATCGCCAACAAGTCACAGACATCTACTGTAAAGAATCCTACCCACACATATGTAAAAACCTGACATTGGTGAGCCAGCGAGGATTATACAGTGGTGAACAGCGGTAGAAGAAGACGTGAACGACAGTGGAAATAAGCCGATATGTGCACAACTGTAGTGATGGTGAAAATATTCTACAGTTCATAACCACAGTATATAACCATGTCAACTGACTATGATAAGTGAAGAGAGAAGTGAGAGTTTGTTAAACAACAAAACCTAGAGAGAGAAGAGTATCAATAGAGAAGATATGAAGAGAGAATAAGAATACAACTGAGAAAGAATGAAAGGAGAGTAAACAGAGATTGGAAATAGAGAGAATAAGAGTACAAATTGAGATCGCCAAGCTCACCCAACAGAAAAATGAAGAACCCAAGAATGAGGATGGGGTGACCAAATTTGAAGAACAGAAAGATGACACGGATTTTTTCCTGGAGAAATATGAAAAATTCACTCAAAGTCAGAAATGAAACAAAGGCAACTGGGCAGTTGTCTCAGCCCCATTCCCACAGGAAAAGACCTTCAAATATATGCAGGCATGATGTCAGAAGATGCCATGGACTACGACAAGTTAAAAGTGACTTTACTTAAACACTATGAACTTTCCAAAGAAGGTTTTTATCAGAAGTTCAGAGAAGTCAAACCTGACACCAGATAAATTGTATTTCAATTTGTGGCATGCTTATGGTGATACTTCACAAGATAGACTGGCATGGCCAAGTGTAAAGATAGTTTTGAAGAACTGGCAGAACTACTAATACCTGAACAGCTCGTGATCACATGCTCTACTGATATGTCAAGGTTCCTAAAGGAGAGAGCAACAAAAAACATGGATGAGATGATCAATCTGGCAGAACAATATATAGAAGCCCATGGAGGGAATATAACTGGTAAGTCCAGGAATAACCAGTTAAAGCTGAAACCAGGGGTGGTTGACCAGAAGCAAGATGCCATCAAAGGTGACAAGATGTTAATAGACACAATAAAGAAGAGATTCTATGCCTGTTATAAAATGGGGCACATTGTGAGTGAGTGTATGTCTGTTATCAACAAGCTACAGCAGAAGTCTCAACATACAACAGCTTGAGATACCTACAAAGTTGGGGCCGGCAAGAAACAAGACAAGAGTGACTGTCACCATGGATGCTGCTGCCATAAGGAACAGAATCAAGACAACTCGTCAGACTCACCACAAGAAGGAAATGCTATCATCATGAGTAAACATATCACAGTTGATAACCAGCTCAAGTTAGAAAACGAGGTGTCAACAAACCACAACATGCCAGTAGGTTAAGGTATGTCAGGGACTATGTATTAGGTCAATGGGAACTGAAGGAAGCACACAAAAAGACCCTTCACTACAGAAACTTTGGGACAGTGCCCAGGAGAAAGTCGAGAACAAGAAAAAAATGGAAAAGGACTTACAGAACAGAGGACTGGAATGGAGTGCTGTATTGGATGTATCAAGACAGTTCTACTGGGGAAGTTATGCAGATCATAGTGACAACAGAATATCTGACTCATGTGATGAAGTTGGCTCATGAGTTGATTGTAGGAGGACACCTAGGAGTGAAGAAGATGGCAGACAGAATCACTAGCAAATTCCATTGGTCGGGGACGTTAGAGATATGACCATATTTTGCAGGTCATCTTATACCTGTCAAAGAACAGTACCTAGAGGGAATATAGCCAAGGTGCCACTGGGGGAGATGCCTCTCATAGAAGAGTTTTTTAGCAGGGTAGATGTGAACTTGATCGGACCACTAGCACCTGTGTCTGATAAGGACAACCCATATGTGCTTACAGTAGTTGACTATGTGACACATTACTCAGAAGCCATAGTATTGCCAAAAATAAAGATTGAGAGAGTAGCAGAAGCCCTCCTGGAAGTTTTCTGCAGAATAACCTTTCTAAAAGAAGCCTTGGGTGACAGAGCAACTCCGTTTACCTCAGAACTGATGCAAGAGGTGTGCAGACTCATTAGTACTAGGCAGCCCTTTACCACCCCATAAATATCCAGATGCAATGGACTTTGTGAGTGAGTCAATGGAGTCTTAAAGAGCATGATAAAGAAGATGTGCCAAGAGAGACCATATGACTGAAACAGGTACCTGCAGGCAGTTTTATTTACGTACCAAGAAGTCTCACAAGCAAGCACAGGATGTTTGCCCTTCGAGCTACTGTACAGAAGAACAGTATGAGGTCTGATGCAGAGTCAGAAGTGAGGAAGACATATCAGTACGTGTTAAACCTCAGAAACCGACTGGAGGAGACGAGTCAACTTGCTCAAGAAAGTTTGTATGCAGCTCAAGGCAGTCAGAAGCACTTTTATAACAAGAATGCCAAGAATCGGCATTTCAAGGTCGGACAGACAATAACAAACTTACCCTGCAGTGGAAGGGACCTTTTGAAGTGTAAGAAGTGTTCAACAGAATGAACTATAATGTGAAAGTGGACAGGAAGACCACGATCTACCACGCCAATCTGTTGAATAGGTACTTCGAGAGGGAAGAAGACCTAACAGGTGCATCTATTGAATCACAAATGGATCTTGTAGGTGTGGCAGTCATAGATGCAGAACCAGAAAATAGTGACTTTGTCATAGAAGATGAAGACCTATTATACTTAAGACCACTAAACAGAGATGAGACATACAAAAATTTCAACATCAGTGAAGAACTGACTGGCAAGCAGAAAAAATCGCTACAAGATCTACTGTGCCAGTATGCAGATGTCTTCACAGATAGACCAGGCAAGACAGACCTCGTACAACACAAGATCGAGACTACGACCAGGGATCCTGTCAAGGTGAAACCCTACCAGATGCTTTATGTTATGAGAGACCTAATTAAGCAAGAATTCGAGGCAATGTTAGAGGCTGAAAGCATTGGGCCATAAAATTCAACCTATTGTTCACCAGTGGAAATTGTGAGGAAGAAGGATGGCTCAAACCACTTCTACATATATTTCCAGAAATTCGACTCTGAACCTATGGACAACCCAGAGGCTGTTATGGCAAAACTAGATGGGGCCAAGTTCTTTTCCAAGATCGACTTCAGTAAAGGCTACTGGCAGATACCGATAGAGACAGGATCTAAAGAGAAGACAGCCTTTGTCACGCCAGATGGATGCTACCAGTTCAAGACGGTGCCATTTGGCTTAGTGGACTCAGCAGCAATAATCAACCACATGATGAGAAAGATGTTGCACAAATCCACAAACATTGAGCATTATGAGGATTACATTCTGACCCACACACCAAGATGGGAAGACCACCTGAAGAAACTCAAAGAGTTGTTCAGACGAGTGAGGGCAGCAGGTCTAACCATCAGACCATCTAAATGCTACATTGGACATAGGACACAAGGTGGGTGATCGACAGATAGCCATGGAAGAGGAGAAACTAAACTGCATACAAGAGGCACCAGCTCCAGTGACCAAGCAGCAAGTCAGATCCTTCCTGGGGTTAGCAGGATGCTATAGGAAGTTTATCGAGAACTATGCTGAAGTCACTTCAGCACTAATGGACCTGACTAAGGTGAAGTGGCATGTTAAGAAGCTCGCCAGTCCTTAGAATGCCAGACTTCAACAGACTGTTCATCATTCAGGCCAATGCATCAGATGTTGTAATTGGAGTAGTACTTCTGCAAGAACATGAAGAGTGACTGTTTACAGTAATGTACGTCAGTAAAAAGCTGTTATGTAGTGAGAAGAACTACCCTGTGACAGAACGAGAGTGTCTGGCCATCATATTTGGCATCTGGAAATTCCAGAACTACCTGTACAGGAAGGAGTTCATCATCCATACAGTCTATCAGCCACTTGCATACATCCAGAGACGCAAAATCAACAGTGCGAGGATCATGAGGTGGGTGTTGTACCTTTAGACTGTATGAATAGACTTTGTGCATGATTTGAAAACAGTCTTTGTATGAAGTATACAAAATTTTGTGAATATTTTTCTTCAAGTGTTAGATATACACGACTGTTTTAATTTAAGTATAGTGCGACTTTTAAATTTAGTTATGTTCAGAAGAAATAGTTTATAGCAGGTTTGTTTACTTAACTGTGAATGAATCGTACGTTTGTGTAGTTACATTGTTGTGATTTGGCACTTGTATTATTGTGTCATGTTACTAGAACCTTCTAAGTTTTTCTAAGTTGTTTTGATCGAGTATTGTTACATCATAATATCTTGTAGAAAGTTCTAGACCTCAGTGGGGCTATTTATGAACACTGCAATATTTTAGGCCTTGTACTCAATTTTTACAACACTTACAGCTATTTCCATTTCTTTTTCATGTATGAGTTTAATTTTGGTTTTTCGTTTTGGAACCATTTCTTACGGTACTTGTGTTTTACCTTGAAATGCAATTGGCTAGTTTTATCAAACTTAATTATTTTCATTTCCTTATTAATTTTAAAATAGTTTGTATTAGGTCTGTTTTCAGTGTTGATCATACTGCTTGCCAAAGTAAGGCATGTGCTGCTGATCTGACTTTAAAATCTCTCTTTTAAAGGAGCTCCAAATGATATCCATTTAGACGATAAAACAAATATCATCTTCCACTTTTTAGACACCTTTTTTATCTTATAAAAATAAAACTTTTATGATTCTTTACTATAAATCCCTATAATGCCTACTTGTGTTTCAATAAAGGAATTTCTATGAATTTAATATAGTAACCATAGGGAATATTGCCAGATCTACGAATAAGCTGAAATCTGTAGTTCTTATAATTCACACACAGGGTTAACTTCCAAATTACTGTGATATTCAAACGATTAACCAAGTACGCAGTTCCCCGATGTTCTCAATAACAAGAGTTTCGTGGTCCTAGTGGGTGGAAAGACGGGTTCAGGAGAAAAGAGATAAAGCTCAATGTGAAGAACAAAAACAAACACTTTAGTGAATGAAATAAAAAAGAACTGGCTGACATAGTGTGGTGATAAAACTGTTAGCATAAGTAAGACCGTATTTGAGTAGAAAGGAAATAAATGAAATTGTGCATAATAATAATAGGAAAATAAACATAAGCTTTACTTTGAGTTAAAATGAAGATCATCAGGCAAAGCAAAACATGGAAACAGTAGAAAAGTGTCATTAAAGCTCTAAAGTTACAAACGGATAACTCTGACATTATAAATTTTTATCATTAGCAACTGGAAGTGTTTCTGCTTCATGTCGCAGTTATAGAGTAACCTACACGTACAAGGCAACGTAAGATACAATACAACTAGTCCTTGAAACGAGAGATTCCATGACTAAAGACTACTATAGAAAGTAGTATCATGAATGGGCAATCGGATATAGTATCTTCAAAAATTAATTAAAATTTCACTAGGACTGTACCTAAGGATTTGATTATATCTTTATTAATGTAATTTTTAAATGTAGTACTAGAAAACTGGAGTTCTTAGAAGAAGAAAAACTTATTTTTTCACTAAAGGGTAGCACTTTTAATATATATATAAAACTATTACAGTTTATATCAGTAAAATTTATGAAAATTTTGAGCTCTGCTCTTTGAATCATTTTGATACGATGAATTGCGTATGGCTAAAGAGCGCAATCCGAACACTTTTTCCGTGCAGTACTTCCCAGAACAAAAAATACTTTTTAAAAAATGTTCACTTTTTTACAATGACGTGTGAATACTACAATTAGTGATCACTAGCACAAACAGCCGCTCGTGGGGCGAGTACAGCTGCCCGTGGGACGGCATTTCTACTACGTGTGAATACTACAATTAGTGATCACTAGCACAAACAGCCGCTCGTGGGGCGAGTACAGCTGCCCGTAGGACGGCATTTCTACTAATTTATTTAACGAAAATCAAGGTTGAAAATGAAAGACGGTTTGGCTTCAAAGTGAATTAGAACATAGGTTAGAATCTATGTTAAATGTTTATTTCATTTTTCTTTCCACGTACGTTGTGTGTTTATTTTCTTGCCACGACGTGTACTTTGTCCAGTTTTATCAATGCCTAACTATTTTAAAACTAACAGCTGTCTCTCTAACAGGATTGAAGCGACATTGTTCTTCTATTTTATCTAAACAGTATTAATAAATATCAAGGCGATATCGTCGCTTCTCTCTCTTTTGAACGGTAATGATGTGTAGCAGCAAAAAATATGTATTTTTATTCTACAAACGAATTGAAAGAACATTGATTTTTCTTTCTATCAAGCAACCTCCTTTTGTGATGAAACAACAATTTAAGAATGGAACAATAAAATTTTATGGATATGCTATCGACCTTCTAAACTTGATTCAAGAGGACTTACATTTTGAATACAATCTCAAAGAATGTGTTGATTGTGACTTTGGAAGGAAATCGCAAGATGGAGGGCTAAAAGGAAATTGGAGTGGACTTATAGGAGCACTTGAAAACGATGTAAGTATAACGTGTTCTATACTTAGTTATATTTTGACGTAAAATATCTTTGAAATGTAAAATTCATTATAGTTCTAATCCAATTTCATCACGTAATTAATAAGTATGGTTTCTATCTATAGGAAGAAAAAAATGATGCATATGTTTGTTTGTTTGGAATTAAGCACAAAGCTACACAGTGGGCTGTCTCTTCTCTGCCCACCACGGGTATCGAAACCCGGTTTCTAGCGCTGTAAGTCTACAGACATACCGCTGGGGGGGGGGGCGGTAATGTATATGAATATCTTGTTAAACGCTTAGTCTTGCATTTGACACCAAACGACTCTTCATCAAAACGACCACCCTAAATAAATTGAAACTGATTTTAGTAGTTCCAGTCAGCAGGATTTTTTCAAGTGCGAGTATAGCATATATTTTCTTTCTTACTGTAAAAAGTATTGCATTACCTATTTCCTTAATGTTATCTTAAAATAATTATCAATAGCAACATGTGGCAGAAAGTTATATATTTGGAAAACGAAGCTTGTTCATTAACTGTAATCAATTAACTATTTACCTTACATAATTTTGAAATCCTACATTTGGTATTATAAACGCGGGGTAAGGATTAAAATAATTATTTTTGGGAATAAATAGTACAGGTTTTTATGAATAACTAGTATAAAAGCCCGTCAAAAATGACAGCAAACCAAAGCCTACCAAATTTGAATCCTCCGATATGCATTTGTAACTTTGCCGGCTGTAAACAGACATAAGAAAAATAAAGGGCCTTCCAGCTTCAGGAAACCAAAGCCTATCATGAGCAATATCTCCTTTACCTGAAGAATGTCTCCTCCCAGTGCCCCTCAGTAGCTCCGTTCTATGTCACCAAAGCCTATCATGAGCAATATCTCCTTTACCTGAAGAATGTCTCCTCCCAGTGCCCCTCAGTAGCTCCGTTCTATGTCACCAAAGCCTATCATGAGCAATATCTCCTTTACCTGAAGAATGTCTCCTCCCAGTGCCCCTTAGTAGCTTCCGTTCTATGTCTACC